GACGCTCCCGTATTTCTTGTGATCTAAAATTTGCTGTCCCCATTTTGCCCTTTTTTGTGTGGGTATAATTAATAAGAACTCCAAACCAAAGGACTCGTGTTGAGATCCTATTTCCCTCGTAATTTGTTGTCACGTGCACCACCTTTATGCATGGCTCTAACGTGTTCTCGTTTCCTATCTTCTTGCCGCACAAAAGCTAAAAGTAATATAATGTTATAATTAATATGTTAATTATAAATTTAATATTTAAATATAAATTTTTTTTAATATAATATTATTTATTGTGTTAAAATTTTCATATATTATACTTTGTAGTAAATTTCTTATCAAATATAACATATGAGAATTTGATATTTAATTACTATTAGTTAAAATATTTACTTTTTTATGTATCATTATAATTTTTACATTTTCTAATTATTTTAAAAATAAAAGTATAGTTTTACAATTTTTAAAGTTTAATGATTATAAAAAAAAATAGATTTAACAGTTTAAATAGCATTATGTATTAGAACAAAAATAAAAATAATAAATCATATCATATTTTTTTGATATTAAATATACAATTGACATTAATATTTACATTAGAAATAGTTTAACAAATTAATTTGATCCATTTTCAACCGTTAAATGAATGTTAGCAAAAATATACTAAACCGTTAAAAACTGTGTTATTTGAACAATTACCTGCATGTTAGACCACCGTAGTAATTATGGAAAACATAACAAACATATGATCATATATAAATATAATTGCAAAACGAAAAAAAAGTAATAGTTGTATTAGTCTCTAAATTGAGTATAGTGAAATCTTGGCTCTTAAACTTTTAATTTAAACATATTTAGTCTCTAAATTTTTATTTTTGATAATTTTAGTCCCTAAAATAAACTTAACAAATAATTACTGAAATTTAATCAAAATAATCATATAATTATTGCACAAAATTTTTTTACATGAATAATTACAGTGTAAAGTATTATAGTTTTTAAAAGGTTTTAATATTAATAAAAATTTTAAATTGCTATACGATGAATACTTGTTTATCTTTGTTAAATTTTAAAAATCACTCGCTAATTTTATTGTTAAAGACCGAAACATAACTACGCTAAAAGTTGAGGGACTAAGCTATTAAAAAAAACATAATTTAATCAACAAACTTCTTTTGTGTATTTAACAAACTTTTATGGGATTAATCTTAACGTGTGATCCTCTTTACTTCCTTTTGTTTTACCTCTCTTCGTTTTTTTTTAAAATTTAAGCATTAGGAGATTTCATTAATAAATTACAACTTGAAATTGTAATTACAGTAACTTGTTTCATTTGTTTTTTGTTAATCAACCCTTTTATTCTTTTCACGTGAAAATATTTTTTCACTCATTTTTCTTTTCCATTTGAATTATGCTGCTCAGAAGCTCATCAACCCCAATATTTGGAAACCTCATTCCATTCCCTCACGACCCTTTATTCCCATTCCCGAGCAGATCATCAAAAGACTTTGAAACAATCCACAAAAACTTAACCAAAAAACCACCTCTTCCTCATAAAAAAGATCCTCATATTCATTATCGTACGAGAATCTCCTTCTCCAACAACCTCAACTTGTTGTCGTTTTCATCAAACAACACGCGACAAAACTCCTTTCGCCGAGTCAGCTCCGACGGGAACTTGGTCTCTGCCCCCACCGACAACGACGAAAACAGACCAATGCTTCACAAAGCGCCGTCGCTTTCGGTCTTCAACAACCAAATCCCAGATGGGTTCGAAGAAGTTAAGGATGTTAATGTGAAGAAAGATCAGATTTCTTCTGGGAAAGAGGTGTTGGAGAGGACCGTGACGATTGGGGAAGCCATTAATGAAGCTGTGAATTGTGATGGTGGCGATAAAGATTTCAGCTTTGGAGAAAAGGGTATGGGGTTAATTGAAGAAGAGGAAGGCGAAGAGGAGTTAGAAGAGGTCGTTAATGGAGGGATTCAGAATCTGGGTTTTGGAGGGGAAGTTGAAAGGAAGATTGGGAGTCCTCCTTTGTGCCTTGACTCGGGAATCGGGATTGGTGGGGTCGGGTTAGATTTGGATTTGGCAAATTTGAACGAGGGAAGAGATATAATGGAAATGGAAGAATATTATAAGAGGATGGTTGAGCGGTGCCCTTTTCATCCTCTTTTTCTCAGGAATTATGCTCAGTTTTTGCAGGTGACTTTCTTTTTCTTTTTCTTTTCGATGAAAAGGTGTCAGCTTTTTTTTTTTTTTTTTTTCCTTTAATTGTGGTTTTAATATAGAAATAAAGGAGCTATGATGTTGTTTGTTATCTTAGGCTTAGGTTGTTCGCGGATTAGGTCTCAATCCGCAAATCAATTCTAAGTTCCTTAGTCGCAATTCAATGTTTTTAATGAATCTGCTCATTGGGTCTATTATTTTAGCCTCTAAAGGTTTTTAGCTTTTGATCAGCTAGCAAACTTTTTAACGGTTTGTTGAGTAGTTTACAAATTCAATGGTATTATCTTTGTTGGCTTTGCTTTTGTAACTTGTTATAGGAGTTTTGTTATGCTTGTTGGCACAACAGATGCCAATTAAAACCCTGCTATTTTTTAGGATGAAAGGTATATCTGGGAGAAAAGTGAACCAAGGCAATAAAACCCGTTGACGGTCGAATTTTGTCAACATGCCGGGTTACCTCTCGGTGTTCTGTTGAATTACCGGCCTAAAGTTGTTATATATTTGGATTTATGCAACTAACTGTTCGTTTTTGAGGTATATTGCTAGTAGTATTGATATGGTGCTTGAATGGAAATAGAGAACCACACAAATTTATAGTTGTTCACTCTATAAATAAGAGCTACATCCACTGCATATTGTATTTCTTTTTTGGTTCTTCTCTCGTTATAAAAAATCCTCTCCCTTTCGCTCTGGGGCTTTCCCCCTTTTTATAGCCTACGGATTACATATGGATCTTTTTTGGACGGACTGTCACAGGGGGTTTAATGATGGTTTCTCTCAGGTAGCCTATTATCCTATCTGCCTAAACCGTAGCTTCTTAACACATTTTGGACTGTTTACTCATCCACTTTGTCCACTATTGCGGTTCTGTGGATCCTTTGTGATTTTCATTGGTCCATTCCATGCGGTTTATGGGCTTGTAATCATTTTCTGTGCTACTGACCTTCTCTAAACCCAGACGCAACCTAGGGATCTCTAGCTTGTCACCTCAAAGGTCTTCCTTAGGATGCGGACCCATTCGCCTGCGTTCTACTCTCTGCGCCCACACCTCTCGGGGCACGACCTCTGTCTCGGTCGACTGTACGTAGGGTCGACGGTCTCATGAATCGCCCCTACGGTTGGCCTTTTTACCAGATGGAGGGGAAATGAGTTTTTAGGCGTCGACAGCTATCTGACGTGGCAAAGCATAGGGCCGCGTGAGGCATGACCGTTGTCCAATGTGTTAGCGTATATTTTCTCACGCAGCAAAACCTATTTGCCTTTTTTGCTTGGATCCTTGTGTCCTACCAAATGCAGAATTATGTTTCAATTAGGCTTTTGAGCATATTGGTTTTGTTAATGCATACTTAAGTAAGCTGCTTCTTTGACTGAGCATAGCCTTAAATGTAAATCTTCTTTTGGCAATAAGTTTTTTATTTTTTTATTTTTTGTCAAAGGTGATTTTGATTGAAAAAGAATAAACTTTAGTAAGAGAAAAAGAGTTTGAGATATCCTTGAGTAAGAATATTGCTTAGAGATGCAAAATAAGCGTTATGGAAATACAACCTATTTTTTCAAAAACAGTACTATTGTGGAAATGACACCGGGAGTTTGGGTGGGTGGGGCTTTGGTTCGATCCCGCCTTGTATCAAAAAAACGTAATTTTGTGAAAATGAATGAGTTAGTGATATATTGAATTCTAGTACAAGGACCTTAAAGGACAAGCTTTTATATAGCAATTTTATGTATTGTGCTTTTGTTAGAGACCTGCGTGTTAGGGAGAAGTATCCGCGAGAGAGAAGAGAAGAAAGTTGGCAAATAACAGCGGAAAGGGGGCGCCTGCTCCTTTTATTCAATATCAGACCACCTTAGACTCGGTGGCCATGGCTGATTACAACTAAGCAAATTCAAAAGAAGGAAAACGTTAATGGCAGAGGAAGGCCTGGGGATTTCGAGGTCCCACCCTCCCAATGCTCACGCACTCTAGAATAACTGACTGCCTTTCCCAAAGTCCCCGTACACCTTTAAATTCCCTCACTCCTACAATCCTTCTAACAAACTTCTCCACGTCAGCTCCTAGTTCCCGAAATTACATTTTGCCCCCTAACACTTACTCTATTCCCACTCTCCATCCCCTTGCATTTCCTGGAGTAGACAAACTTCAGTAGAGGGCTAACACTACACCCACCCCCACCTCCCCCCCCCCCCCCTAAAGTTTTTGACCAACCTTGTCCCCAAGGTTGAAGGCAGGGAACTGTTCCTGGATGGTGGCCAATGGTTCCCAAGTCGCTTTCCAAGAGGGTAAATCCGCCCATTGAACCAGAACCTCCACCACTGTATGGCCACCAACCTGCACGGAGCGAGAGCTCAGGATCTCTGCTGGCTGTACTTGCAACTCGAGGTCCTCGGTGAGCTGCGGTGGTAAGGGCTGCCCTTTAAACTCTGCCCCTTGGTAACGTTTCAGCTGCGACACGTGAAAGACAGGGTGGATGCGTGTTGTGGGCGGCAGCAGCAGTCGATAGGCCACTGAACCCAGGCGCTCGAGTACCCTAAACGGTCCATAAAAACGTGGCCCCAGCTTCTCATGTGGACGTCGGGCCAGGGACTTCATGAAGTAGGGTCGTAGCTTCAAGAGCACCAGATCCCCTGGAGCAAAGGTCACCTCACGACGATGCGCATCCGCATACTTCTTCATGCGCTGATGAGCCAAAGATAAGTGATCCTTGAGGGTGTCTAGCATCTGGTTTCGGAGTAGCAGCTTCTCTTCCACATCTGCAACCGCGGAAGGAGCATCTTGAAAACGATGAAGTACCGGAGGGGGGCGTCCATACACCAGCTCAAACGGAGTAAACTTGGAGGAAGCGTTAAAAGTAGTATTAAACCAATATTCGGCCCAAGGTAAAAAGGACAGCCACTGGCGCGGTTTGTCACAGGCGAAACACCGCAGATAGGTCTCCAGGCAGCGATTAACTACCTCGGTTTGGCCATCGGATTGCGGGTGATAGGCGGTGCTCATGTGTAACTTGGTGCCCTGCATCCTGAACATTTCCCGCCAGAAGCCACTCATGAAGAGTGAGTCACGATCACTCACAATGGAGCGAGGGAACCCATGGAGCCGAACCACCTCCCTGACAAACAATTCCGCCACTTGGCGAGCTGTGAATGGATGTGCGAGGGGGCAGAAATGGGCGTATTTGGTTAGACGGTCAACCACCACCAAAACCGTGTCTATGCCGCGGGACTTAGGCAGCCCACCAATGAAGTCCATAGAGACATCGTCCCAAACCTTGTCGGGGATAGGGAGAGGCTGCAGCAAGCCTGCGGGGGACAAGGTCTCGTACTTGGCCTGTTGGCAAATTTCACATTGTGCCACATGTCCGAATGGCTTGCTTCATGCCCCTCCAATACACACTGGCCGCTATCCGCTTATACGTTCTATAGAACCCCGAATGCCCGCCGATCACCGAGTCGTGAAGCTCGTGCAAGACCTTACCAATCCACGGTGAGTCTGCCGGCAGAACCAGCCTATCCTTGAGAAAAAGGGTCCCATTGTGCAGCTTGTAGCCTGACGGAACTTCCTGCTTGGTTTGCAACCGCGTCATGAGGTCGGCTAGAGAAGCGTCAGCCTTTTGTCCCCGCTGTACCTCAGAGAAATCCAGCAGCTGGGGCAGAGTGATGGCCGATAAGCTCGGTTGGTCCTCTGCACCCCGGCGGGAGAGGGCATCAGCAACCCGGTTGGCAGCCCCCTGCTTGTACTGCACCTCAAAGTCATAACCCAAGAGTTTGGTAATCCATTTGAGTTGCTCTGGAGGAGTAGTCACTGGTCCAGCAGGTATTGTAAGCTTTGCTGGTCACTTCTCACCACAAAGTGCCTTCCAAGAAGGAAATGGCGCCACTTTTGTATGGCTAATACCACGGCCATCAGTTCCCTTTCGTAAGCTGATTTTAAACGGAAAGTAGGAGTCATTACCTTACTGAAATAAGCCAAAGGGCGGCCCTCTTGCATAAGAACGGCGCCCACTCCATAGCCCGATGCATCCGTCTCCACCACAAATTCTTTTGAGAAATCGGGCATTGCCAACACCGGAAGGGATGACATGGCCTTCTTTAGTGTGGCAAATGCCTGTTCTTCCTCCGCCTGCCATTTAAAGGCACCCTTCTTCAGCAATGTAGTCAGCGGACGAGCTAGCTCCCCAAACCCCACCACAAACCGACGGTAATACCCCGCTAGGCTGAGGAATCTGCGAAGTTCACGTATTGTCCGAGGGGGTGGCCAAGTGCTTATGGCCTGGATTTTTGAAGGGTCGGCTGCCACTCCTTCTTCCGAGATGATGTGCCCCAAGTATTCCAAGCTCGGACGACCGAAGGCACATTTTTTTCGATTGGCAAACAGCTGTTCCCGCTCAAGGACTTCCAAGACTGCGGACAAATGATCTTGGTGTTCCTCCCAACTCTTACTGTAGACAAGAATGTCATAAAAAAAACCAAAACGAATCGGCGAAGGTAGGGCTGGAAAACCGAGTTCATGAGGGCTTGAAATGTGGCAGGAGCGTTCGTGAGGCCGAAGGGCATGACGAGGAACTCGTAATGCCCCTCGTGAGTCCTGAATGCCGTTTTTTCCACATCACAGTCGCGAACCCGTATCTGGTGGTAGCCAGCCCTTAGGTCTAACTTGGAAAATATCCTAGCCCCGTGCAACTCATCCATTAGTTCGTCTATTAACGGAATTGGGAATTTATCCGGGATTGTAACATTGTTAAGGGCGCGGTAATCAACACAAAAATGCCAACTCCCGTCTTTTTTTCTGACCAACAACACCGGACTGGAGTATGGGCTGCAGCTTGGTCGAACTATTCCTGCAGCCAACATCTCATCTACCAACTTTTCCACCTCCACCTTCTGTATTTGCAGGTATTGATAGGGACGGATATTTGGTGGTGCGGCCTGATCCTTGAGGACAATACGGTGGTCGTGCGCACGGTGTGGCGGAAGCCGGGTTGAAACCCCAAACACTGCCTCAAAACGGGTGAGTACCGCCCGTAGTTCCGGAGGCTCTTCCTCCTCTGTCAATTCTTCAGCCAAACTGGATCGTAATTCTAACAACAACCCCACCTCGGTAGAATGAAATGAACGGGTCAAGGATCGAAAACTTACTGGTGTGACACACAAGGCGGGGTCGCCCTTCCAGTGAACCCAATCACTCCCTTTTTTAAACTTCATTGTGAATTCCGACCAGTTGGCTCGGACTTCGCCCAACGTGCCCAGCCACGTGACGCCCAAGATGACATTGGCGCTCCCCAACTCAAACGGAAAAAAATTCTCGACCAATTCATGGCCTTGAATTTCCAGCCTTACATTCCGACAGCGCCCCTGTTGTCTAAAAGTCCTTCCATTGCCCACTAGAATCTCATGGATGGGTGTCTTTTCAGTAGGTATGGCCAATTCGTCCACCAATGACAAGGATATAAAACTGTGGGAGGCGCCGCTGTCGATTAAGATGATGACCTCTCGCGAACCCAAGAAGCCCCGCAGCTTCATGGTCTTAGAGGACATCAATCCGCGCATCGAGTTCAAAGACACCGCCGCTGCTTCGGTCGTCACCCCTCCCCCTTGCACCGGCGGCGAATCCTCCTCCTCACTGGACTCCTCGTCCTCCTCTGTCCCATCCTCCGCCACCAGGAGCACTTGAAGCTGCCGGTTCTTGCAGCGGTGTCCCGGACTGAAACGCTCGTCACATCGGAAGCATAGGCCCTTAGCTCTCCTCTACTGAACTTCCTCTTCAGATAAGCGGCGGAACTTAGAGTCCCCACTCGGTGCGTGCTGCGACGAAGGAGAAGACCACGTGCGCCCCTTGGCTGCTGTGGCACCCTCTCTGTAGGTATTGGATTGAAGGGGGTTCTTTGCTGGGCCCAAAGAGGAACTGGGGGTCGGCCATCCTGAGCTTGGCCGGCCCAAGTACTCCCCCTTATTTCCCCGGCCCAATCTCAGCTTCTTCATCCTCTCCACCGCATCATCTCTGGCCTCAATTTGTTGGGCCAGGTCCATGACTTCTTGCAAGTTAATGGGCCTGTGTAATTTTACCTCCGCCCTGATGTCCTCTCGAAGCCCGTTGAGAAATGTTCCCTTGAACACCGATTCCGGAATGCCCCTCATCGGCATCGCCAGCGCTTCAAAAGAATCTCGGAACTCGGCTACCGTTCCACTCTGCCGGAGTGCCATCAGCCTCTCAGTAGGGTCCCCTTCCCCGGACCGGCTGAAGCGATGGAGGATGGCCGTCCGGAGGTCCCTCCATCCCAGGAATGGTTCCTGGGCCTCCACCCACTGGAACCAGCCCAGGCCCTCCCTTCCATGCAGATGGACGCTGCGAGCACCTTTTCCTCCTCGTCGACCTCGTTGACGGCGAAGTACCGCTCAGCTCGGAATAGCCACCCGTATGGGTCTTCATCGGAAAAAATTGGGAGTTCCAGCTTCCTACCACGGTGGTCGCGAGCTCGTGGCCGCTCAGGGGAGTCGCGTCGCTGGCGTCGACCCTGCTCGAAATTCCGTCCGCCGCCCTCGACGGGGACCCCGGGATCGGGTGCTCCAAACTGCCGAGCCAGTAAGGTCTCCATCCGCTGAACGGAACCATGAACCATGTTTAACCGTTCTCCTAACGCCGTAACATCCTCCTGTAGTCGAGGTACGGGATCAACCAGCGTGCCCAGGAGCTGAACCGTCTCATTCATATGGTTTAGTCTCCGCTCCAGACTCGCAACTCGCTCGATCGCTTGCCGTTCTCCCGGCGGTGCCGCGTCCAGTTTGTTAGAGACCTGCGTGTTAGGGAGAAGTATCCGCGAGAGAGAAGAGAAGAAAGTTGGCAAATAACAGCGCAAAGGGGGCGTCTGCTCCTTTTATTCAATATCAGACCACCTTAGACTCGGTGGCCATGGCTGATTACAACTAAGCAAATTCAAAAGAAGGAAAACGTTAATGGCAGAGGAAGGCCTGGGGATTTCGAGGTCCCAGCCTCCCAATGCTCACGCACTCTAGAATAACTGACTGCCTTTCCCAAAGTCCCCGTACACCCTTAAATTCCCTCACTCCTACAATCCTTCTAACAAACTTCTCCACGTCAGCTCCTAGTTCCCGAAATTACATTTTCCCCCCTAACACTTACTCTATTCCCACTCTCCATCCCCTTGCATTTCCTGGAGTAGGCAAACTTCAGTGGAGGGCTAACAGCTTTATTCTTTTGGTGACAGTCTAAGGGGGACCTTCATGGTGCCGAAGAGTACTATTCTCGTGCTTCATTAGCAGATCCTGAAGATGGTGAAATATGGATGCAGTATGCTAAATTGGTTTGGGACCTCCATCGCGACCAAGAAAGAGCCTCGAGCTACTTCAAGCTTGCAACAGAAGTGTCTCCTCAGGACTGGTTTGTACTCAACGTATAGTGATTTAACTGAAGTGACTCCACAGATTAAACAATTATAATGATTTAACTTGCTTTTTTCATGTTCTCAGTAGTGTTCTTGCAGCATATGCCAGTTTCCTTTGGGAAATAGAGGACGATGAGGAAGAGGTTGGAGCACGTCAAGATAATCTTCTTTTTTTCTCCCTGCTGAGACTTAGCTTTTGTGAATGCTACAAACATTTGAACTATCCTAAGTCCTAGAAACTAAATGCAGGTTTCCCAGACAGAATCTATAAATGAACTTGGCTTGCGTGTTGCTGGAGGGGTCAGGATTGGTGAGCCTGATTCCTTCACAGATGTCTCTAGACGATCTGAAAATCTTGAAGATCACTATAGAAAGATGATCAAAGAGAATCCGAACAACCCTTTGTTTCTAAGAAACTATGCCAAGTTCTTGTCTGAGGTGAAATACATTTCTTGCCCTTTATATTTCTCTTCGGAGAAGAGCACTGTACTTCCTTTTCTGTTGGTTTTTCTGTGATTCAACTCTGAACACTTGTATTGATTTCCCAGAATTAAGTTAGTTTCAATTTCACTCTTGTTCTGAAATGTGATCCTGTTTGCTTATAGTCCAAAGCAGATCTTCAAGGAGCTGAGGAATACTATTTGCGTGCTGTACTAGCTGATCCAGGGGATGGGGAAATCACAGCAGAATATGCTAAATTGGTGTGGGAACTTCATCATGACAGTCATAAGGCGTCAATTTACTTCGAGCGAGCAGTTCAAGCTAGTCCTGAAAACTGGTACAAAATTTTGCTCAGCATGACATATTTGGCTGAATATTTTCTCTGTTCTCATGTTGAAAGTAAATGGTTTGGAGGTCTGTGAAGGAATGTCTGGACGACAACCACGTTTCTGTCTTTACCACGATATGATTTCGGATGTTTCTTCACAGACCTCCAAAACATTTACGTTCATGTTCAAACATGATGATCCCTAGAGATCAATTGTTCTCTTCTCTTTAACAAGTCCTTATTCGAAGCCTTTGTAGATTACCCGGTGCTCGTGTTAAGGCTGTATGTAGAGATTTTAAGCAGTAAAATAACAGATAGGAATCACATATATATCAAAATGATCTCTTGTTCTTCCGTTTCCTTGTTTTCAGTCATGTTCTTGCAGCCTATGCCAGTTTCCTCTGGCAAAACGATGATGATGAGGAAGATGGATTAAGGCAAGAAAACCGAGTTCAAGTTCCTCGTAATCACGAACGGACTATGACTGCCGCAAACGTATAAACTAGCAACAGGTTTCTGATGCTTTATGGGAGCAGGAAACAGAAGATGAGTCACTTTCAGAACTTAGAAATCAAGTGGCCGCAGAATAATAAGTTGGCAAATAAAGGCTTTGTAATAATAAGATTTGATTGCTTAAGGTGAAAGCTGGATGTTCACCTTTCCTGTAGCTTTTTTTTCACAAACGAATTATAGAGAGCAATTCATGATTGGCAAAAGGAAAAGAAAGTTGGGATTTTATCCAAATACAAAAAGGAATAACAGAATTGGGGTGTTCTCAATCCAAGTCAAGTCACCCTCACTAATCATGAGTAAACTGACTTGATATATCAATTGATGTTAAAAAAAAAAACATAAAACATAAGCACTTTTTCTTGTGTGTTTTTTTTTTAAACACTTGTTTTCTGCTTATCAGTTATTGGATCTGTATTAAATCTGTTTAAAAGTTAAATTAGATTGAAAAAGTAATACATATCTAACGGTTGATAAGTAAGAAATATCAGTGTTTCTAAAAAAGAGAGAACACTAAAAAAATTCTTAAAACATAAAATAAAAATAAAACTCAGTTTTTGGGCATCGCGAGCTTGATGCGAGTATGATAGGGCTTGTCTATTCATGTGACAATTACAAAGTTCAACACAACGTCATGCAATGACCATAAGTTTAATAAGTTATTTGAGAATTAATAGGGTAAGTCGTTACCGTCTAACACTAACTATCAAATTGTTAATTTTTTTAGTCATACTAGTTAAAAACACACATGCGTATTTTTAATACAAAAATCTAAATTTTCTTTAAAAAATTATTTTTTTTATAACGTATTATTCCTTAAGAGTTTTGTTAATATTAAAAAATAAAAAAGAAATAGGAAAAAAAAAAGAAAAAATCTCGTGAAATTTTAGACAAAATGATGTCACGTGTCAAAATGAATTAGAAGCCTTCGTACTGTGAAGTAGTGCTGGAACTTCGGGCCGGCGGGCCGCCCGAAGCCCGAATTTTTTCTGGCTCGGGTGGGCAGGCCCATATGCCGGCCCGTTCAAGGTGTATTTTCAGGCTCAGGCTCGGGCAGCCCGAGTTTTGAGACCACGCCGGAGCCCGCCGCCATGTAGGTGCCGTCGACCGTCGTCCGCGAGAGTTTTTTTTCTTGAATTTTTCCGACCAATCCCGATTTGCCCGACCCGCCCGAACCCGAAAGTTTGAAAAAACGGACAGAAAATGACCGTTGGGTTGCCCGAAAACCCGAATTTTGCCCGAATACCCGAGATGCCCGAAACCCATCCAACGGCTAGTTTTTGCCCGAACTCGCCCGAACCCGAACCCTAAACTAGCCGTTTTTGCCTGAATTTTTTGAAAAAAAATCAATATTTTAACCCAAAAATTTCCCTATAAATACCCCCCATCCCCTACACATTTTTCTCACTCAAACTCTCTCAATCCCTCTCAATTTCTCTCATTCTCTCTCAATTTCTCTCAATCTCTCTCAATCTTTCAAATCTCTATTACAATTTTTTTAAAAACTATCACATTATCCTAAAGCTCTCTCTCTCTCAAATCGCTATATTTGTTTTTTATAATGGATCCTTTTGGTTACAGTGGTATTCCCGTTGATACTCAACACAACGTGGAAGAAGGGCAATTTCTCACTAATGAATTTGTTACGCAAGAATCTATTAATCCGAGCCCTGGTGGACGTACTGGAGGTTGTGGTAGCAATGGTGGCGGGCGTGGAGAAACGGCGAGTGCCAGTGCAACTGCATCTGCAAGTGTTGCAACCTCTAGGAGGAAATCCAAGCGCACCTCGACAGTTTGGGATCACTTCGACATAATTGATGAGATCGACAATGAAGGTAACACTAAACATATAGCTCAGTGTAAATATTATTTATCTAAATTACAAGGTGACACTATTCACGGCACCACACACTTGAGAAGACACTCCGAAAAGTGTTTTCAAAAGCTTAGCCCACCCGGCGGACCCGAACTCCGCCAAACACAATTATCTTTTGATCGCGCAACCAGTGGTCTAACCACTTGGAAATACGATCCGCAAGTAGATCGTATGGAAGTTGCCCGAATGATAGCTGCTTTAGATCAACCACTTAGTTTTGTAGAGCATCCTAATTGGCAACGATATATTAAGGTTGTACATAATCCTAATGCATTGTTTACTTCAAAAACTACTATTAGAAAAGATTTATTAAAATTATTTAAAAAAGAAAAATAAGCATTTATAAACCTTTTACACTCGACTAGCGGGTGCGTTGCGTTAACGGCAGATATTTGGTCTGCCGTTGCCAATAAAGATTATTTAGCTGTAATCGGACATTACTTTAAAGGATTTGATTTAGATAAGATAATATTAGTTTTTAAATGTGTTTTAGGATCACATAGTGCAGATTTAGTATATAATACTATTTTAAATGTAATTGATGATTTTAGATTAAGAGATAAAGTAATGGCTATAACATTAGATAATGCTAGTGCTAATACAAAAGCAATTGAGTTCTTTGAAAATGATTTAAGTTTATTCGGTGATGGTACTATTTTCCACCAATGTTGTGCATGTCACGTAATTAATTTAATTGTTAAATCAGGTTTAAAAGAAATGGGTAATTACATTAAAAGAATTAGAGATAGTCTTGCATGGATTTAAGGTAGTAACCAAAGACAAGAAGATTGGTTTAGGTTCTTACAAGCATTAAATATACATTCTAGAGCATTAGCGTTAGATATGCCTATAAGATGGAACTCAACTTACATAATGCTTCAACAATGCATCTCCTATAAGGATGTTATAACAAACTATATGTGTGTAAAAGTAGGAGTAGGACATATAGACGCCTATGATTGGCAAATTACCGAAGTTTTGTATCAATTTTTAGGTAGGTTTCATGAAGTGACTCTAAAACTTAGTGGAACATATTACCCATCACCTTTAGCTTTAGGAGAACTTTTACTAATTAGAATTAGTATTTTATTTCACGAATGTAGGGAGGATCCAATCTTAGGAGTTCCTGTTCAGTCTATGGAAAAAAATTTAAAAAATATTGGTCTAAGTTGCCTTTGTTATATGGTTTAGGTACAATTTTTTATCCTGATTAAAATTAGAAGGTTTAGAAAGTGGTTTAGAAAACTTAGGTGATTTTTTAGGCATCAATTGTAAGGACCAATATCAAATAATAAAGGATAAAATATATTCGATCTATAGTAAATATGAGATTAGGTTTAGAGTATCTCATAGAGTACAGGAACCGCAACAACAAGACAAAAACCCGCATACATTCTTGAATGTTTTCGGGTTGAAGAAGAAGAAGAAGACAACTCAAACAGAAGCTGTGAGTGAATCTTCATCAACAAGTGGCAGTGACAGCGGTGGCGGCAGCTTTAACGAGCTTATGGCGTACCTCAGTGAAGGCTTAGTAGTCGGCGGTACGGCAGAATCGTTTGACTTAGTTCAATGGTGGAGGGCACGGGCATTAACTTGGCCAATCCTAACTCGATTGGCAATGGATATATTTTCGATCCCAGTCTCCATTGTTTCATCCGAACAAGCCTTCAGTACGACAGGAAGAATACTTGAGAAACGCTAGAATGCATTGCAAAGGGATATTGTTAAAGTCTTGGTTTGCATTAAGGATTGGGATCGGGCCGATCAACGTCTACAGGATACAATTTCGCCGGCAAGTCAAGAATGGATTGATGAATTTAATCGATTAACATTTAATTTTGAAGACGATCCTTCAGCTTCAAATTAAATTGTAAATTTGTAATTTGTAAATATGTATTTACTTTTGACATTGTATTTGTAATTGTATAACTTTGTAAGTTTGTAAAATTTGTAATTCGTCACAAAATGATTGTACTTTTTTTTCCTTGTCAAGTTTTTATCCCAATTGGGTTTTTCTTGGTAAGGTTTTTAACGAGACAATCATGAATTACAAATTTAATACATCAATAATATACATGATTAATTTATTCAATTGTGTTGATAATGTCTATTGAATGTTGATTTTGATTTTTACATAATTTTAACACAAACTAACTTAATAATTATAAAAATTAAAAAATATTTAAAAAAAATTCGGACAAATCGGGCGGGCTAACACAAGCCCGCAACCCGTTCAAGGAGAAATTCGGGCTCGGGCTGGCGGCCCGAAGTTTTTGGGCGGGCTAACACAAGCCCGCAACCCGTTCAAGGAGAAATTCGGGCTCGGGCGGGCAGCCCGAAGTTTTTGGATGGGTCGGGCTCGAGTAAAAACTCAGTTTTTTCAGACGGTCCGTCCAAAGTTCCAACACTACTGTGAAGTCAAAAAGAAGAGAGCCTTTTTAACTCTTTTATGTATGTATTTGATAATTAACTATATCTTACCGGTAAGGTATTTCATATTAAATTCTTCATAATTTATTTCTTCCAAAATATATCTATTGGAAGTTTAAAACAGATCATCTAGGTCCACCTCCAGCGATTACCGTTTACATAATTACGATGAATCAGAAGCACATCATCCCCTTTTTTTGGGCCTCCTGCTAGGAAAAACAAAGCAGCACAGACAGAAACAAACTCCACTTACTCCACATAACTAGAATTTGGTTCCTTCTATCCAACGGCAAGAGAAAATAAAGAGAACAAGTGGGTACCAGATTAAAATGTAAAGTAATAATAATAATAATAATAATAATATTAATAAGTTGAATTAAATAAATAGTTAAATTAATCCAACTCAACAAACTTGATCCAGAAGAGAGATAAGGCAAAATCTTACTCTGAACGAATGAGCTCAAAATTGCAAGCACATCACTTGATAAATTATGAAGTTGAAGAAAAGGAAAAAGACATGAAAACCCTTTTAAAGAAAAAAGAATAGAGAAATTTTTTTTCCAATACATCTAGGTTAAACTTTCGCTCGGAATTCTAATCATATAGTTCTTTAAGCTAATCAATGAGATGTGATCTGCTACGTTGAACCTGCCGGAACCAAATTTTATTCTTTATAATATCTAGCTCGTCAACTCTGCCCCACTTCCTGTTGCTTGGTGACTTGAGTTTCCTCTGTCTTGTCGCTCAGTTGGTCTGTAGAAACCATTTCCCCTAGGTCTGTTGTAGTCTCGGTCTCCTCCATCATGACCACCTCCCCGTCCAAAATTCCGAGCACCAAAACGATCTCTCGAAGCCTCTACTTGGTAGCTGCCCCTTCCTCTACCCCTTCCTATTCACAGTAATTCAATCATATAATTCAACAATAAGATTGTGCAACTTCGTAGCAGCAAATTCATAATGTGAAACATGGTCGGAGCTAGTTCCGTTACTGCTAAATTATTCTCAGCAAAAGCCACATATGACTACAACCTGTTTTGCAGTCAATGTTCAGAGATACTTTGAGAAGGATTAGACAAGGAACTCTCTTCTCCAATATCAGTTTTTAGAGTCTTAAGGTAATGGATGAAAGCAATACCAACAGAGTGCCGGGAACAGAGTGGGGCAGACATACCAACTGCCAATGGAAATATATTAAAGCCCATCTAGTGATTACCAAGAGTGTTAAAGGAGAAATAGACGTACTCGCTACTCGAGATGGGATGTTGCTGTTTGGTCTCCGCTCTTCAATGTATACTGGCTGCCCAGCAATCTGAACCGTTTTGGCCTAGAGATACAGAAATTTAACCTAATTAATTGATACCACTAAAAAGATAACCTCATCCAAACATGTGCCATAATATAGCATTACAATTTCTCTAACAGATATCAGATTAAAGATTTCATTGCCAACAGAGAGAAAGGGCAGGAATGGACTTTAGTTTGGTAGAAAGCAGACTTGACATTGGTAAACCAGTTCGAAGTTTGGCTTCATTTCAAAAGACAAAAAACCACCAGTTCAAAAGTTTGGATTCATTCCAAATGACAAAATATAGGTGATGGAAATCAGCTTCATAAAGGTTGAAGAAAAAGAAGAAAATGATAGTACAGTCATTTTATCAGGATTCAAATTTGACAAACAGACAAGTAGCAGTTGGGTCCTGTAACTTAGGTTGGAAAGGAAAAACAACCTTGACTGCATTCTGAACACCAGTAATGTCTTCAAACTCAACAAATGCATAGCGAACGCCAACCTCCTGCACATAATTAAAAAATTTCAACTCTGTATTAGCCAAACATTCAGTAATACAGCAGGATGGAAAGGAGAATCCAAATGAGAAAAAGGCCCCAGACACGAACCTTGCGACTCCTAATGACCACGCCTTCAGGTTGCTTGAGTTTACCGAAATTCTTAAATTCCTCCTCGATTTCAGAAGGAGACACGTTAGGCGGTAAATTTCTCACATAAACAGATTTTATTTCACCTAAAAAATACCCATATTAAAATCAGTACGAAATCACGCAATAAATGCTCCCAAAAATACTATTAGTGTAATTAATACCAACAGAGATAATATAGAATCAAATGAAATTCATAACAAACGGGACAGAACTTCATATAATATTGTTGTCATTATCATTACGCAGGGAAACGAAAAGGGAGGGCCTTTTCCCAGAACTCATAAAATCCATCAATGGATAGAACAAAAAGGTTCGTACTACAGGGGTTTGAAAGTCAACCTTCATCATCTAATGGGCCAACCTCATCTCCTGCCTCTGTAACAGATTTTTCAATTGTATTCAATGATCCAGCGGGTTGCTGAGCATTAGACTCTTGAGAATGATTCCAGTCCGAAGCCAACGGAGAACTCTTGTTGACAGAGCTCTGAGAAGCTACCGAGGGCATGAGATGTCCTTTAGCAACACGTAACTTCCAGCATAAATAGGAGAAAATCAGCATACAAGTAAGGATGGCATAAACTTATTTAAATATGTAACGGAAATTCAGTATGACTTAGTAATTGCAGAGTTTAGAGCATACAATAGAAGCATATGTGTGTTTTTGGGGCTCCCCAATAGATTCCTCAACAGATAAAGATCGTTGGTCTTCTAGAGAGTTCAAGGTATTCGGAAGTGAACCATTTGTCTGATCTGCAGAATTTTCGTCCAGGATACTTTCGGATTCAGCAACTTGCTGTAAACGTTGCTCAACAAAGCCATAATTGTCAGCCGGACCACTTTCTTTGACATCTCGAGCCACAAACTCTCTTGTGTGGATTTCTCCTCCCAGCAAATAATTAGCCACTAAAAAAGAAAACAAAATGACGCACGGTTTTAGTTATGAAGTTTGTGAAGGAGAAACACTCATTATTGCTACCAATCAAAATAAGTCAAAATAAGAACTTTTTATCATCCCAAACAGCCACTTAGCTCGTCTATCAAAAGGGAACAATCTTTTAAGGAAATATTTTCGTATTAGATCCTAATGATACATCACCATGGTATTAAAACGAAGAAGCCTTACCATTTAAGCACTTGAACAAAGTGAATACTAGTTCAATTATAGAAGACCTAGTAAAATACATAGATTTAGACTGAGTAACGTAAACAGTATCCGTTCAGTTTAATATTGAACATTAAATGCCTAAGAATATAAGAAAACTACCAAAACAATTCTGACATCATTTAGTAACATACGCGCACTCTTTCTACCCTTTTTTTTTTTATTGAAGATCAAACTTTGTAAGGCCTATAAGCAATGAGAATCCTAGAACCATTATAATTTATGATGAACTACCTGGTTCAGGGACAGTCGTCAGAGCATTTCTTTTTGAATCACGATTGTTCTGGGTTAACATGACTGCCTGCTGATGATGAATTGGATCGTCATCAATGAACTGGAAAATATCATTTAGCAGAAAATAACCTTTTTCTTGGGGTGCAAGGAAAAAAGTTTGCACAAATTTCCTCCTGCTACTGAAATCCTTCAGCTGCACAGAGCCTGACACCATAACAATAATGCCTGCACTCCAAGATTCCAGGGCATGAGCCGACCTGATCTCGATTCCCGTGTAGTTGAGCGACATAATAAGTGCATGGATTTGCTGCAAAACACAAAATGGGGAGAACAGAAAAAAGAAAAACCTTTTGTCAAAAAAGAAGGTAAAACCAGAGGTCATATTTCAAAAACCATATTACTACGACGTACTGTATCGAAATAATACAATTCTGCATTTAGCATGACTCAGATACCATATAACTCGACACAAGACGACAAATTTAAGCATTTCTGACAAGAAAAATGCACTGATGCATTAAATTTCCACAATTTCATCGTTTCGTTTTTCTATAATTTGCAATAACTCGGGATTTCATCCCATAGAGATGATAAATCCTTTATCTGTAAATTCGATGAGATGAATTACATCGAGATAAATCGTATTGTATGATCCAATATACGTACCATCTTACCATACTTTAAAACCTATTTAAGTGCTGCATTTGGGTTGATTCAGATACATATAATTCAACGCAGGGCTACAAATTTAAGCATTTCCAATAATGAATACACCACACCTATGAACTAAATTGTATTGAATAATCTACGATGCGAAATGTATTACTGTGCTTTAAACCCAATTTACACGCCGTATTACCACATATCCCAAACATTTTCGGGAAAATTAAAACCTAAGCAGCATTCCAAGCTCAAATCCAACTACCACAGATTTCAGAAATTTTAGGGTGCGTTTAGAACTCGTTCAAAAATGATTTTATTTTTATATGAAAATAAAAATAAAAACGTTTTTAATCTCAGACAGAAATCATTTTTAAAAATACGTTTGATAATTTTATTAAAAGATTATTTTCAGTATAAAAAAATCTATTAATATCTCTCACTACTCAAGAGAAAAAAATAAAAATAAAAAATAAAAAATGACTAAAAGTAAATTTTTATTTCTTTCATTTTACACTAAACTAAAAAATTATTTTTATTTTTATTTTTTATATTTAATTGTACCAAACACCCCGTTTTTCTCCTTTTTATTTTTTCCTCCTAAAAAAAGTTGAAAAACAAAAATAAAAACAAAACAACTCCAAACACAACCTTCAAGTTCTAACTTTGATTAAAACGAAATGAAAGTACCAGCATTGCAGTGGCAGTCTCTCTGGTGTTGCCGTCGATGCGAAGCATGGTGCTGGCGTCGGAGTAGAACTGGTGAACGAATTCCGGCTGTTGCTGAAGCACTTGGTAGTACTGTCCCACGAAATATGAAAAAATGTCATTTATGGACTATATATATATATATATATATATATATACAGAGAGAGAAGTCAACCGATAGACATAGAGAGAGAAAGTATGAGAGAGAAGCTAGAGAGAGTGTGAGAAACCTGAGCAGCAGTCACCGGAATGGGGTAGGTCGTGGCCATATTGCTCGAAACCCAGCTAAAACCCAACCGAATCGAAACCCTAGATCTGCCAAAATGAGCTGTGAATCCGCAACGCAAACAGAGAGCAAAAGCACCAGATAAGATTATCCGCAAAGAAGAAGAAGAAGAAGAAGAAGAATAAGATACTCGTTCAAACGTATCTATACATTTATACACATATACATACACGCATCTATAGTCCGAAGAAAGAGATCTGAGAAATGAAGAGGTTTTTAGAGAGAGAAAGTACCTTTTTTTTCTTTTGAGAGAGAGAGAAACCTTGAGATAGATGTGGAGGCAGAAATGCAGGTTCTTCCTGTCTTTTTTCTTTTTTCTTTTTTGCCTAAAGAAAAGAAAAAAAAAACACGGGGGCAATTTTTTCGCAATTTTTTATTTTGTTTTTTTGTTCGCTAGTCTATAGTACCTTTCGGGTGAAATTCCTGAAAATCCTTTATTTTGTCCCTTTTTGAATAAAAAATTAAAAAAAAACAATACATTTACAGCTCTTTTTCTTGTCTTAAGCCGTCACCGAGATGAAAAATATTATATTCATGTAAATATCAGTATATTTAAAATTTGCAAACAAATGGACGAAAATATTGATATTAGTAAAAATTAACGTAAAATACATAAATTTATATTAAAACGTTTTATTTTTAAATGAAATTTTAGAAAACTTTAAAATAGCTAATAGTACATTAATTAAATGAAAATTTCAATTAAAATACTATCGTATATAATATCGTAACAACCTCTCACGGGTTGTCACAATTATTTTAACTTTTAAATATTTATTTTTAAAAAAAATGCAGAAAATAGTTAAGCTTAAAACACTTTACTTTGAATGATTTGAAGAAATTCTAAATTTTTTTTTCATATTATAACTTTAAAAATTTTAAACATCATCAAAGAAAAATAATCTTTAGATTCAACTCATTTATAAAAATTCAAACCGTAAAATAAACTAAAAAAAAAAGATCTTAAGTATTCTTCAAATTAAAACCACCATAAACTAAAGTTTCAAAACAATAAAAATAAAAATTTAAAAAACATAGTTTAACATTAAGCACTTTCATTCAATGATCGTTTCTCCTGTTTTCCTATCACGCACTGCTCGCATCTGCTCCAAGATTCTCCATGGCTACATCTTACCCTTTAGATTGTCTGCAACATGAAATAACTTATATAAGTAAGGGCTTAGTAAGACACTTAATTCTCACAAATTTAAATGAACATTTTTATTTATCAACAATAAACATCATCATGAGAATAATTATTTTTGAACATGTTTAAACTTTAAAATCCATTATATATTAGGCCCGACGTTGTACCATCATAGCGCGCTAGCCACAGAAAGTATGGGGTAGCAAATCCCATATCAACCGTGACAATAAGACCGCTCACCGGTCACCATTAAGGGTGTACAACGCCATTTAAAAACATAAATATATATATATATATATATACATATATATTTCTTCAAACGTCATCATATGAAATATAAAAGGTGTCATAACATCATCATAAACATCAAAATCATATACTTCTCAATTCTTCAATTCATGTTGCAGGTGAGAGTGTACTTATATGAGCGCCTTACTTAACCTTTTAAAATTTCACAACGGTGACGCAACGAATGAGGTCTTCGGGTGCTCGCCTCTAGAACCGTTCATGCCATAAATCATAAATAGGATTACTAAAAAGCCTTAATAACTCATCAAATACATTGATCACGTTAAAACAACATCTAATATACATTTCTCACCATTCATTAACATCAAGACATAAAAAATCCCAATAATTACACCAATTTTCTAAATCTTACAAAAAATTGACAGCTTGACCTTTATCTCTTTAAAAATTCATAACAAATCATAGAAAACTCAAAACGATCTGGCTGCCAAATGAAAATAGACATCAAGATCTTTCCAACGACACCTTATTTGTTAAAAACGGAGTTCGTTTGGTCCCTCAAACACTGTTTTAAACTCAGATCATATTAGCTGGAAAATTCCAGCACAGTAAACTCCGAAAATACCAAAATAAATTCATTAAAGATAAAATCAATTCCAACCATCTGTATACTTTAACCAGCCCTAAGACATGTTCCTAAAACATTCAAATTACACATTCTATAAAAATTCTCATGGCAAAGCGAAGTAGAAACATTAATATGACCATTAAAATTCACATATCTTACAACTCGAATCGAAAAACAATATGCTAACTCATGTTTCTATGAAATCACAATTTATAACACAAAAAGGAAACAACAATATAAGAAAATAACATAATTCCTAACATGCCTCTTTAGAATTTATCAAATTATGAAGACACCAAAACACCCAAAATAATAACCGTGTCATACATGATTATCCCAAAATAAAACATACAGCCATGAACATTAAAACCTCACCTAAATCACATAAATCATCCATATATCTTCAACCAAAGAAAATTATTCATTATGTCCTTAAATTAACACCCAACACCAAAGGAAATCACCTAATAACCATGAATAATAAATTAGAGATGGAACATACCTTGAAATCTTCTTGATTGTGGCTTAGAAGAACCAAAGGTTTACAAAAAGGGGTTAGAATAATGGAGGTTTGATGGCTGGTCTGGGAGGCTCTGTATTGTGGTGTTCTTGGACGTGAAAGAAAGAAGAAGAAAGAGGGGAAGAGAGAGTAAGAGCTGGAAAATGTTTATTGGCTCATAAATCATATAAAATTAAAAGGGATTAATTTGATATTAATTGGGAATTAATTCTGTGATTAAATCACCCCTTAATAGCTGGGGGAATGGCTATCATTAGGGTGTAAAATCATGTAGAAGGAAAATAAAAGAGTTAGGTCTGCTGGTTCCCGAATCGAATTCGGGTGCGGAAGCGTGGGGAAGGCGGATCGTGTATAACAAAAATTTTCATAAAACTTTTGAGATACTCTATAGATTATATTAATTTATGCACGAATAAATTAATCGCATTAATTTACATCAAGAATTCAATCCGAAAAATTACCTAGAAGCTGACTCGGATGATAACTTGAATTCTTTGACCACGAACAATCCTTGCTCCAATCTTTATGTTTAGAATACCAAAGTCTTCCACGTCAATTCCTTGATTCCACGTAGACGTGTGTGTGGGCACACGTGAGACAAAAACAGGTTTCTTAAACACTCGAATTTCCACAAACACCAACGCATGCACGATGTGGAATTTTTGGAGAAAAATATTTTCTCTCTCTTTTCTCTCTATGAATTTCGGCCACCAACTATTAGGGCTGAAAAATTGCTTCAA